AGGAAACTGAACAACTGGCTCTTGAATGTTGACTGGATAAACAATGAAATGAAGGCAGAAATAAAGAAGTTCTTTGAAACCAATGAGAACGTAGACACAACATGCCAGAATCTCTGGGACACATTTAAAGCAGTCTCTAGAGGAAAATATATAGCAATAAGTGCCCATATGAGGAGAATAGAGAGATCCAAAATTGACACCCTATCATCAAAATTGAAAGAGCTAGAGGAGCAAGATCAAAAAAACTCAAAACCTAGCAGAAGACAAGAAATAACTAAGATCAGAGAGGAACTGAAGGAGATAGAGACACGAAAAACCCTTCAAAAAAATCAATAAATCCAAGAGCTGGTTTTTTGAAAAGATCAACAAAATAGACAGACCACTAGTCAGATTGATTAAAAAGAAAAGAGAGAACAACCAAATAGATGCAATAAAAAAATGATAAAGGGGAAATCACGACAGATTCCACAGAAATTCAAACCATCATCAGAGAATATTACAAACAACTCTATGCACATAAACTAGTAAACCTGGAAGAAATGAATAAATTCCTAGACTCCTGTGTCCTCCCAAGCCTCAACCAGGAGGAAGCTGAAACTATGAATAGACCAATAACAAGGTCAGAAGTCGAGGCAGCAATTAAGAGCCTACCATACAAAAAAATCCCAGGTCCAGACGGGTTCACAGCCGAATTCTACCAGACACACAAAGAGGAGCTAGTACCATTCCTTCTGAAACTATTCCAAATAATCCAAAAAGAGGGAATCCTTCCCAAATCATTTTATGAGAACAACATCATCCTGATACCAAAACCCGGCAGAGACCCAACAAGAAAAGAAAACTTCAGGCCAATATCCATGATGAACATAGATGCAAAAATCTTCAATAAAATACTAGCAAGCTGATTGCAACAGCACATCAAAAAGCCTAACCACCATGATAAAGTAGGATTCATCCCGGGGATGCAAGGCTGGTTCAACATACGTTTATGTAATTCACCACATAAACAGAACCAAAGACAAAAACCACATGATTATCTCAATTGACGCAGAGAAGGCATTTGACAAAATTCAACAGCCCTTTATGCTAAAAACCCTCAATAAACTCGGTATCGATGGAACATATCTCAAAGTAATAAAAGCTATTTATGACAAACCAACAGCCAATATCATACTGAATGGGCAAAAACTGGAAGCATTCCCTTTGAAATCCGGCACTACACAAGGATGTCCTCTTTCACCACTCCTATTCAATATAGTACTGGAAGTTCTAGCCAGAGCAATCAGGCAAGAAAAAGAAATAAAGGGCTTCGAATAGGAAAGGTGGAAGCCAAATTGTCTCTATTTGCAGACGACATGAGAGTATAACTAGAAGACCCCATTGCCTCAGCCCAAAAACTCCTGAAATTGATAAGCAACTTCAGCAAAGTCTCAGGATATAAAATCTATGTGCAAAAATCACAAGCATTCCTCTACACCAATAACAGACCTAAAGAAAGCCAAATCAAGAATGAACTGCCATTCACAATTGCTACAAAAAGAATAAAATACCTAGGAATACAACTCACAAGGAACCTAAGGGACCTCTTTAAGGAAAACTACAAACCACTGCTCAACGAAATAAAAGAGGACACAAACAGATGGAGAAGCATTCCATGTTCATGGTTAGGAAGAATTAATATCGTGAAAATGGCTATATTGACCAAAGTAATTTACAGAATCAACACTATCCCCATCAAGCTACCATTGAAGTTACATGAACTTCATATGGAACCAAAAGAGAGCCCGCATAGCCAAGTCAATTCTAAGCAAAAAGAACACAGCGGGAGGCATCACACTACTGGATTTCAAACTATACTACAAGGCTACAGTAATCAAAACAGCATGGTACTGGTACCAAAACAGAGATATAGACCAATGGAACAAAACAGAGGCATCGAAGGCAACACAACATATCTACAACCATACAATCTTTGATAAACCTGACAAAAACAAGCAAGGGGGAAAGGATGCCCTGTTTAATAAATGGTGCTGGGAAAACTGGCTAGCCATGTGCAGAAAGCAGAAACTGGACCCCTTCCTGACACCTTACACTAAAATTAACTCCAGATGGATTAAAGACTTAAGCATAAGACCTGGCACCATAAAAACCCTAGAAGGAAATCTAGGCAAAACCATTCAGGACATAGGAGTAGGCAAGGACTTCATGACCAAAACACCAAAAGCATTGGCAACAAAAGCCAAAATAGACAAATGGGACCTAATCAAACTCCACAGCTTCTGCACAGCAAAAGAAACAGTCACTAGAGTGAATCAGGCAACCAATCAGAATGGGAAAAAATTTTAGCAGTTTACCCATCTGACAAAGGGCTGATATCCAGAATTTACAGAGAACGCATACAGATTTACAAGAAAAAAAACAAACAAGCCCATTCAAAAATGGGCAAAGGATATGAACAGACACTTTACAAAAGAAGACATATATGAGGCCAACAATCATATGAAAAAATGCTCATCGTCACTGGTCATCAGAGAGATGCAAATCAAAACCACATTGAGATACCATCTCACGCCAGTTAGAATGGCGATCATTAAAAAATCTGGAGACAACAGATGCTGGAGAGGATGTGGAGAAAAAGGAACACTTTTACACTGTTGGTGGGAGTGTAAATTAGTTCAACCGTTGTGGAAGACAGTGTGGCGATTCCTCGAGGCCTTAGAAATAGAAATTCCATTTGACCCAGCAATCCCATTACTGGGTATATATCCAAAGGACTATAAATCGTTCTACTATAAGGACACATGCACATGAATGTTCATTGCAGCACTGTTTACAATAGCAAAGACCTGGAACCAACCCAAATGTCCATTGATGATAGACTGGATTGGGAAAATATGGCACATATACACCATGGACTATTATGCAGCAATCAGAAATGATGAGTTCGTGTCATTTGTAGGGACATGGATGAATCTGGAGAACATCATTCTCAGCAAACTGACACAAGAACAGAAAATGAAATACCGCATATTCTCACTCATAAGCGGGTGATGAAAAATGAGAACACATGGACACAGGGAGGGGAGTACTAAACACTGGGGTCTATTGAGGGGAAAGGGGGAGGGCCAGCAGGTGGGGGAGCTGGGGAGGGATAGCCTGGGGAGAAATGCCAAATGTGGGTGAAGGGGAGAAAGGAAGCAAAACACACTGCCATGTGTGTACCTATGAAACTGTCTTGCATGTTCTGCACATGTACCCCAAAACCTAAAATGCAATAAAAAATTTTAAAAAAAAGAAATTATACCAACCCTATACATTGAAAGGAATATATTCCACATTAGTTTATTTTACCAGTATTACTCGACACAAAAACCAGTTCAAAGATTGTAAAGAAAAAAACAAAACTTACAGATCCACATTCCTCATCAATGCAAAATCCTTAACAGAGCACTAGCAATTTAAATCCAGCCACATATAAAAAGATAACATATTATGACCAACTCAAGTTTACCCCAGGAATGCAAGGTTATTTCAACATCTGGAAATCAATTAATGTAATGTAATATGAAAAGAATAAAGAAAACCCGATCATCTTAATAGATACAGAAAAAGCATTTGACAAAATTTAATGACCATTCATGATAAAAACTCATTTGTGATAAAAGCTCAGCAAACCAGGGATAAAAGGAAACTTCTGAAACTGATAAAGAGTATAAACAAAAACATAAGAAATGGTGAAAGACTAAATAGTCTCCATTTAAGATGAGAGGCAAGGCAAGCATGCCCACTCTCACAATTGTTATTCAACATAGATTAGAGGGTCCTAGCTAGTGCATAAATTGAGAGGGAAAAAAAGCATATAGAGTTTTAGAAAGAAAGAAGTAAAACTCTCTTAAACTTGCAAACAACACAATCATATATTATAGAAACCCCCAAAGTTCAATGAAAACACCTATTATAACAGTAAATTAATTTTAAAGTGAGGTCAATATACAAAAACCAATTGTACTTCTAAACTGGGCATGGCGGTCCATCCCTGTAATCCCAGCTACCCAGGAGGCTGAAGTGGGAGGATCACTTGAGCCCAGAAGTTCATGTACAGCCTGGACAACACATTAAGACCTTGTCTCAAAAAAATATACTTCTATATGTAAGCAATGAACAATTATAAAAATAAAAATTTTAAATACTGTTTACATTAGGATCCCAAGACATAAAATATTCAGGGATAAATTTAATATAAAATTTCTAAGACCTATATGATAAACTCTACAAAACATTTCTGAGAGAGATTTTAAAATATCCAAAGAAATGGAAGCTATACCATGTTCATCAATTGGAAGACTGAATGTCAGTCAAAATCCCACAGACTTTTAAAACAGAAATAGAGACACTGATTCTAAAAGTGATATGACAATACAGGACTTAGAATAGCAAAAAGCTTTTTTGAAAAAATAATAATATTGAAGGAATTAAGCTATATTTTATAGCTTCTTAAGCTACATTAATAAAGACAGTACACAAATTATTAATAAATAAGTATATCAAGTATATAAATACATTTTATCTGAAAATACTTCATTAACAAAAGTTTCAGGAAATAGTCAAGGAATAAAAACAATCACAAAGTCATTATTAATACTAAGAGCTACCATTGTATTGGCTATAGACATATAATCAATGGATTATAATAAAGAGTTCAGAAATAGACCCATATATATTTGATCAAGTGATTTTCAAAGAAAGTACTAAGGTACAATGGGAGAGAAAATAGTATTTTTGACAAATATTTGTGCTGGGACAATTCGAAATTCATATATGAAAATGACCTTCAATCCTTATGTCATACTGTATACAAAAATTAACCAAAAATGTATTAGAGACCATATGCATATACTCATTTTTTAAAAGTTGAGAAATGTAAAGTATAAAACAGGGAAAAAAATTATAGTGACAGTCTTAATTTCTTTGATGTACACCACAACAGACTTAAATTTTACCTCAAACTTCTTGTCTTCCTCAAACATTTTCTGATTGCATTTGTTACAATTTTCTTGTAACTTAATATGAGTTTCTTTAAGGGATGATAATTCATTTTTAATCTTAGTAATTTCTCCATTAAGTTCTTCAACCTATTATAAAATGTAACCAGAATAAATAAGTATATCAAGTATATAAATACATTTTATCTGAAAATACTTCATTAACAAAAGTTTCAGGAAATAGTCAAGGAATAAAAACCATCACAAAGTCATTATTAATACTAAGAGCTACCATTTACTAAATTGGGCTGATTAGTTAATAAGTATAATTGCATACTTATCAAAACCCTATGAGGTATTATTATGCCCAATTTACAGGTAAGAAATGTGAGGCTCAGAGAAACTAAGTAACTTGTCCAAGATCAAGCAGAGATAAAGTGGCAATGAGGATTTAATTCCAAAGCTAAATCTAAAGGCTGTGTCCTTAATGACAATATTAAACCACCTCTTGTCTCATAAAAAAATGTTATTGAAATTCATAAAAAACAAAAAACTTAAATTCATAAATAAGAATTTATGAATTTGTATTATAAAAACATTATAATTTCATTGTTTTCTTAAAGTTTAATTTTCTTGTTGCAAATTGCATATACAGATTTGAATTCCACTACATCAGTATTAAGCACTAAGTGGTACCATAGAAACTGACATGTCAGCCTGATATTTACATCTATAAATTAGACTTTCACTGCCTATAAAATTTAATAATCTCTATTTTGGGGGACAGGAGTACTCTCACAGAAGTCTCAAATATGAGACAAGGTATGTTCCAGTGAGGAGAACAATATCCTTTTGTCATGGAAAGGCATATTTGGGGTTTTATAAAAGTTTAAAAGCTTTTTATAAAAGTTTCTCTTGAACAACTTTAAAACTCCTACCACAAATCCCACAGCTACTTGTAACAATCCTTATTGTAAATACTGTAATTACTATTCCTAATATTTTTCTAATTAATATTCTCTATAAAGCCCTATATAGAGGCCAGCAGATGGAAACTCATGTTACTTTGTTCATTTCATCTATTTTTAACCAACTTTGAATCTATCTCTGCAAGGTGTTTCTTTTCCAAGGCTTAACTCTCCAGGTGTTCTTTGTCCCTTCCTCTCCTATCTCCCTTAGTCCTAATTCTAGGCATTTTCTCTTTTCTTCTGCCTATTCTTATGCTTTCAGTGTCTTCTCGTCAGCCTACAAATAGGTTCTACTCACATTCCTAATATTTTTCTTCTTGACCCAGTTCCTTTCTCTCTCTCACTTCTCTTTTTTTTTGAGATGAAGTTTTACTCTTGTCACCCAGGCTTGAGTGCAATGGCACAATCTCGGCTCACTACAATCTCCACCTCCTGGTTTCAAGCAATTCTCCGCCTCAGCCTCTCGAGTAGCTGGGATTATAGGCATGCACCACCACACCCAGCTAATTTTGTCTTTTTAGTAGAGACGAGGTTTCTCCATGTTAATCAGGCTGGTCTTGAACTCCAGACCTCAGGTGATCTGCCTGCCTTGACCTCCCAAAGTGCTGAGATTACAGGTGTGAGCCACTGTGGCCAGCTTTTTTTTTTTTTTAAATGAGGGAGTCTTGCTACATCACCCAGGCTGGAGTGCAGTGGTGTGATCTTGGCTCACTGCAACCTCTGCCACTTAGGTTCAAGGGTTCTCCTGTCTCAGCCTCCAGAGTAGCTGGGACTACAGGCATGCACCACCACACCTGGCTAATTTTTTGTATTTTAATAGAGATGGTGTTTCACCATGTTGTCCAGATGGTCTTGATCTCCTGACCTCGTGATCTGCCCGCCTTGGCCTCTCAAAGTGCTGGGATTACAGGCATGAGCCACCGTGCCCAGCCTATTTTTAAAATGATCTTATTTCACCTATAACTTTAAATTTTGCCTTTATGCTAATAAATCTTAAATCCATATCTCCTCCCCAAACTCTCTCCTAGGATTAGATTCACATCTCCAAATGGATAGTATACACTTCAAGCTACATGTCCTGAAAGCATTATAAATTCTACAGTTCTCGATTTAATCTCATTATTTTCATCTACCAAATCTGCTTCTCCTTTTACATTCCTTAAGCTAATGATATTATCATTCTATGAGTTATACTAACCTCAGAGTCATATTTGATGTCTTTTCCCCTCCTAATACCCATTATATACAATGTCACTAACCATGCCAAGTCTTCTTCCAAAGTTCATCCTACCTCTATCCCTCTTCATTGTTCTATTGCCCTAATTCATACAATCATAGGTTCACGATTAGATTATTACTACATTCTTATTGATTTCTTTCCAAACAGCCATCCTCCATATTGTTGCAAGAGTTATTTTTCTAGAAGACAATCTGCCTGTGTCACTTATTTATTTTAAAACTTCAATGGCTTTCCATTACTGAAAATCTAATCTCCTAGTAAGGAACCCTTCAAAAGTTGATCTCAACCTATTTTTCAATGCCACATTCCACACATCCCATTGTTAATTCAGAGCAGACTCTTCATGGTCCTTGAAAATGGACTTTCCTGCCTCCATGGTTGTTTCTATTCTTTCTTAAATGACATGTCAACAAGATGGAATGGGAAGGGTGGAGATGGGTGTACCTTTTGCTTAAATCCTATTTCATCAGCCAGGTGCAGTGGTTCATGCCTGTAATCCCAGCACTTGGAGAGGCCAAGGTGGGCAGATTGCCTGGGCTCAGGAGTTTGAGAACAGCCTGAGCCACACAGTGAAATCCCGTCTCTACTGAAATACAAAAAATTAGCCAGGCATGGCAGTGTACACCTGAAGTCCCAGCTACTCGGGAGGCTGAGGCAGGAGAATTACTTGAACCCCGGAGGTAGAGGGTGCAGTGAGCCAAGATTGTGCCACTGCACTCCAGCCTGGACGACAGAGGGAGACTCTGTCTCCCCACAACAAAAAAAAATCCAATTTCATCTTTGAAGGCCAAGTTGGAGTGTCATCTTTTCTTTAAAACTTTCTCCAGCCCAGCTAAAGAACATGATTTATTTTATGCTTTTATAGGACTTTGTTAATACTAAAAACTACCTTGCATTATTGTCATTAACTCCACAGTTATCTATCCCTGCAGTGTAAGCTCTTTGATAATCCTTGTATTTTAGGCATCTTTGAAAACCCAGTGCCTAGAATAGTGTCTAACATATAGTATATGCTCAATAAATGTTGTTAATTAATTTTTTGGGACCTCCCTTTCCCTAATATCTAAACATTCTCACTTATTGTCTTTTTGTCTCTATAACAACCACTGGTTATATATCTAGTCAAAATAAGAAGATACACATAACATTGTTATTTTTAATATTTCAATGAATTTTAAATATATTATCTAATAATATGCAAGAAGTTTTATTAGCATAGTATTTTCTTTCACTGTTTATTTTTTGAATGATCAAATATGAAACAGCAGTTTATATGATTCCAATTTATTTTTATCAGTATCTTTGTTTTTTTAACCCATCTTGATCCAATCTCAGTAGCCACACTACTATTGTCCTTCACTCAAGAATGGTGAAAAACTTACATATAAAAATATAGTTAAAAAGTAAATGTGACATCCCACTGAAGAAAACTCTTATGGAACCAAGGCAGCTTTTTCTTATCTATATTCTGTTTATTATCAAAGAATACTGGAAGCAAAATGATTGCAGAACTTAAAAATTCTAAGATAAAACCAACTTTATCCACATTTATAGACTGAGACCTCACCAATGAAACTGCTTATTTTTCTTAATAGTTTTTGGTTTTTTCTTGAGAGAGGAGCATAGTTGTAGTCTCAGAGAAAATGAATGTTTAATTTTCTTAGCTAAACTGATCTTTTTGGGTTTTTTTGCATATTTGGCATATTTAAATTTTTGTTTCCTTTTCACTTAAACACTTTTCCTTATCCTGATAGCACCATTTCCATGGGGTTTTAAACACTGGGGATGAAAAGAAGGTATAGGGATAAAATGTAGATTAACTGATGCTAAAATGAACATTACTATGCTTGCTGCTTAATGATAAATTGTATTGGTATAGAAATTAAGAAATTTTTAGTATTCTACAATTAATACAAACTATTTTTCTTAGATTTAAGTAAACCTTATCAAAATCATCAGTGAAGATTTGATCTCTCCAAAATATAAATTAAGAAAACATGCTAGTTCCAAATGAATCAAATCAAGTTACTTATATAATAATTTAAATCAAACAAAATAAGCTACAGAAAATATTATCAAGCTGGTATTTAGATATTCATTACTATATTATATAATTAACATAATAGTTTAAAACATAATAATACATTCCCAAAATATAGCTTCATAAACTCATAGTGACTTTTTACGCTGTCATTTATTTAAAAATAATTTTAAATGCAATGAAAATTAATATTAACACAGAATAATCAGTTTTGGGGTCCACCAGTGTTTAAAGTAAACCTTTATATTTCACAACTTGAATTTATATCATTTTACACTATTATTTTATCTACTTTGCTGAATTAAAATTTATTATAAAATAAACAAATGTGATTTAAGGAAATAGCCATGTTTAAAATATATCAACTCTTATGTTGTTGATATGATAAAATGCTAATACTATAGAACTCAACTACTGCATACATGTTCTAAATATGGCTCTAATATAGCTCAACAAAACTGCTGAGGAAAGCAAAATAGATCAGTTAATAATAATATAATTATTTTATTCATTTACTAAAATACTATGCAATGGTTTTATTAAAAAGCAAATTAATTTTTCTTTGTTATATACAGGAGCTCAAATACATACACACACACACACATGTGCATATATACACAAACATGTATTTGTGTGGTCTTCCATGCATAAAAGCATTACAGGGAATTTCATTAAATTTAGCTTTTAAAAAGCATTTACCTTTTTGGAAATATGAGACTAAAAAAAATGTGTCTGATTTTACTCCTCTAATATTTATGCAGTATTTTCTTAGCATTTACAGTTATTTTACATGTCTAAAACTATTTAAAATATTTTACTATTTAATAAACTTACATGTCTTTTCCAAGTTCCTAGTGCTTTTTCATGCTCATTTTGAAGACTAAGAAACTTTTCTTCATTTTCTTTTACCTTCTCCCTCTGCAGCTCATTATTCCTTTCAAGGGTCTGCAATAAAATTAATTATCCAAAAAATAATCAATACCACATTAATGAATTTTGATGTGTTTTATGTTGCTTGGACCTTTGCTTCTAACATGCTGAAAGTGCCATACAGATCAGTGATAATGTGCTATCTCAACTATAATTTTCATAAATTAATGGAAAGGTGCTTATAGTTTAGCTAACAGAAAATAGGGGGAGGTTATGATAAAGAAATGGCTATAAAAGGGTATAAAAACATTGCCATTATTCAGTTTCACTGCATAAGTTTTAATGTTCTGAAAAAGTAATATAAAGTACAGCACTGAAAAGTATGAAATGTAGCACAATCCAGCCTAACTCTTCTAAAGAAATTTAACTACTATAGAACATTTTTTCCATTATCTGTTTATTTTAGAAATTAACTGGCTAGAAAACTCTTAAATACAATTTTAATTTTAATTTTAAATTAACACTTTTTAAGCATAACTTAAATATTTACCATATTAACTTAATTTCTTAATTGAACTAACATAACAGAATCACCACCACACTCTCCCTCCCACAAACTAAACTTATAGAGTAAAAATACTACCACGTGTTTTCCAAGACTAGGGTTTTAAAGCTATTAAATCAGTGTCATCAATATTATTAGGTTTCTCCAATGTCTGCTGATAACTCAAGTGAATTTTTACAAAAAGATAGTGATCAAACACCTATCTACATGCCTAATACATCTGTAATCTTTGTTTATAAAGCTATTACATTCAGGTTAAAAATGTCAAGCCACACAAAAGGATATTAAAAGAAAAAGGTAAAGTTATCCTCTCAGTTTTCCTCCCTAGAAGTAACCACCTTGGCAGTTTCTTGTATATCTTTCCAAAAATTGTCTATATAAGCATAAAAGTATGTAAAAAATATATATATATTTAAATACAGATGAGACCATATCATACACACTGTTCTGTCATCTGCCTTTTTAAAAAAAAAGTCTTTCTTACTTTCCATATTACATATATAAATCCATCTTATTTGAATTCCATATTATTCACAGTACTCCATCTATTTAGAGAGTTCTCAATTACAACATCTAGGATATCAATATGCAAAGATAAATTATGTAAAATCATGGCAACATATCTAATAAGCATTTTACAGTTTTAATATGGAGAGTCTCCTCTTGCTTATAAGAAGCTATGCATTTTAAAAGCACCCAATGAATACCTATTTTGATTGCCTCTATTTCAGGATAACATAATTATTTTTATAAAAGTAACAGTTCCTTAATTTATAGGTATATACAGTCATGAGTTGCTTAAGGACAGGGATATGTTCTGAGAATTCCATCATTAGGTGATTTTGTCACTGTATGAACATCACAGAGTGTACTTACACAAACCTAGATGGTATAGCCTACCGTTCCTCTGCTGTAAACCTGTACAGCATCTTTCTGTACTGACTAGAATAGGCAATTGTAGCACAATAGTATTTTTATAACTAAAGATATCTAAACATAGAAAAGGTACAGTAAAAATGAGGTATAAAAGATTAAAAATTGTATACATGTAAATCTATAAGGCACTTACCATGAATGCTCCTCTGGGTGAGTCAGTGAGAGAGTGGTCAGTGAATGTGAAGGCCTAGGACATTATTATTCACTAACATAGGCTTTATAAATGCTGTATACTTAGGCTACACTAAATTTTTCTTTTAATTTTTTCTTTCTTCAATAATAAATCAAGCTTAGTTGACTTTATAAACTTCATTTTTTTAACTTTTTGACTCTTGTAATAACACTTAGCTTAAATTACACAGATTGTACAGCTGTATAAAAATATGTTCTTTCTTTATATACTTATTCTATAAGCTTTCTATTTTTAAATTCTTCCTTTTTAAACTTTTTGGTCAAAAACTAAAGTACATCATCACAGCACTATTCACAATAGCAAAGACATGGAATGAACCTAAATGCTCATCAATGTAGACTGGAGAAAGAAAATGTGGTACATATACACCATGGAATATGACACAGCCATAAAAAAGGATCAGATCCTGTCCCTTGCAGCAACATGGATGGAGTTGGAGGCCATTATCCTAAGAAAACTAACACAGGAACAGAAAACCAAATACCACATGTTCCAACTTATAAGTGGGAGCTAAATATTAAGCACATATAGACACAAAGAAGGGAACAATGGACACCAGGACCTACTTGAGGGTGGAGTAAGACTGAAAAACTACCAGTCAGGTACTATACTTATTATCTGGGTGACGAAATAATTTGTACACCAAACCCTGTAACACTCAATTTACCTATATAACAAACCTGTACATGTAACCCTGAACCTAAAATAAAAGTTAAAAATACATATATGCAACATAAAATTTACCATTTAACCATTTTTAGATGTACGTTTCAGTGGCACTGAGTATATTCAAAATGTGCAACTATCACCATTATCCATTTTCAGAACCTTTTCATCATCTCAAATAGAAATTCTGTATCCATTAAATAGGAACTTCCATTTTCCCTCTCCAATTGTTCACTTTGACAAATACATATGGTCATGTAACTCCCAGAAGATACAGAGAGCAGTTTTATTACTCCCAAAAGTTCCCTTGGGCCACTTTGCAGTACCCTTATTCTTCACTGACCATCAATAATCTGTTTTCAGTCTCTCTAATTGTGGCTTTTGGAGAATGTCCTATAAAAGGAATCACAGAACAAGACTATATGTAGCCTTTTGAGTTTGGCTTCTTTACTTAGCAAAATGCATTTGAGATTAATCCATTGTGTTGTGTGATCAGTAGCTGGTTCCCTTTTACTGCTGTATAGTCTGTTGTATTGATGCACCATAGTTTGTTTATACATTCAGCTCTGGGTTGGACATTTGTGCTGTTTCCAGTTTTTAATGATTATTAATAAAGCCATGGTAATTATTATTTTTAAAAACCTAATACACAAACACACATTAGCCTAGGCCTACACAGGGTCAGGAATATCAATATTACTTACTATCTTCCTCCTCTACATGTTTTCCCTCTGGAAAGTCTTCAGAGACAATAATACCCATAGAACTGTCATCTCCTGTGATAATACTGCCTCTTCTGGAATACGTCCCGAAGAACCTGCCTGAGGCTGCTTCACAGTTAATGTTTTTGTTTTTGTTTTTGAGATGGAGTCTTGCTCTGTGGCCCAGGCTGGAGTGCAATCTTGGCTCACTGTAACCTCCGCCTCCCAGGTTTAAGTGATTCTCCTGCCTCAGCCTCCTGAGTAGCTAGGATTACATGCGTGCACCACCATATCTGGCTAATTTTTGTATTTTTAGTATAGATGAGGTGTCACCATGTTGATCAGGCTAGTCTCAAACTCCTGACCTCGTGATCTCCTGTTTTGGCCTTCCAAAGTGTTGGGATTACCAGGTGTGAGCCATCATGCCCTGTCAACTTTTTTAATAAATAGGAGTAAACTAAAATAATAAGTATAGTATAATAAATACATAAACCAGTAACAGTCATTATTATCATTATCAAGTATTATGTACTAGATATAATTGTATATGCTACACATTTCTTTTTTTTGAGACCAAGTGTTGCTCTGTCACCCAGGCTGGAATGCAGTGGGGTGATCTCGGCTCTTTGCAATCTCTACCTCCTGGGTTTAAGCAATTCTCCTGGCTCAGCCTCCTAAGTAGCTGGGATTATAGGTGCCTACCACCAAGCCCAGCTAATTTTTGTAGTTTTAGTAGCGATGGGGTTTCATCATGTTAGTCAGGCTGGTCTTGAACTCCTGACCTTGTGATCCATCTGCCTCAGCCTCCCAAAGTGCTGGGGTTACCGACGTGAGCCACCAAGCCCAGCCTATGCTACACCTTTTTATAACTGATAGTGCAGTAGGTTTGTTTATACCAGTATTACCAAGAAACATGTGAGTAACACTTTGTGCTATGACAGTATGATGGCTATGATGCTAGCAGATGATAGGAATTTTAACCTCCATTATAATCTTATGGGGCCACCATCTTATATGTGGTCTATCATTGACCAAAACATTGTTATGTGGTGCATAACTATAATAACAGAGTAGTTTCTAAATATTTATAGTGTGTATAATAGATGCTTATTACTAAATTCTAAGAAATATTTTTTATTGATAGCATACTATATTTTAGAAGACAAACAAATAGAATCTTAGAGAAGATATGGGAGAATAAACCACATTCTCTATCCTAGTAATAATAAATGACCAAGAACATCATGCTCTTAAAACAGTGTACTAGCAATGTCAATCATTTCTTGTCTGTACCCAGTAACTCCATCTAAAGGAAACTGTCTACTTCAGGTATTCTCTCAGTTTGTTTTTTGGAGACATCCATCCTTCCATTACAATTTTGACCTACTTCTCTCTGTCAGGCATACAAATTAGGTTATCTCTGAGGATACCCTTTTTCACTTCTGTCACTGTTTCCCAGGTCCCATAGTTTCCGTTCCTGGTTTACTCTCTTGTCTTGTAGAGCAAACATTCTATTACTTCTTGATAAAGGAGGCATAGGATGGTAAATCTGGGGGGACCCTATATGTCTGAAGATGTATTTATTCTACCAATACTTGGCAAACTTGTTTGGCTGAATACGGTATAACTCTGCTTCAGAAACAAATTTTTCCCAACATCTGAAGGCATGGTTCTGTTGTCTTCTACATTCCAGTGTTGCCAATGAGAAGTCTGAAACCTTATGATATCATTCTCATTGTTAATCCCTGTGTATTACCTACTTTCTTGTACAGTTTTAGAATCTTTATGTGTAGTACAAAATTTCATAATGATATGCATTGGTATTGGGCAAGACAAACATATCTGTCAGGCCTGGATAACTTTTTTGTATTAATTATTTGGTCATTTCCTCTCCTTCTATTTTCTCTCTTCTCTGACACTCACCAGACATCTTGAACTGACCCCCCTAATTTCCTTTCTCTCCTGTTTTCCATCCTTTTGTCTTTTGGATCTATTTTTTTAGAAGACAGTATTA